CAGATATTTCAAGGGAGGTACTAAGCGTTTAAGCGTATAGCTTTGGTTAGAGTTAGGTTTGGGTTAGGGTTAGGGTTAAGGTTAAGGTTTGGGTTACGGTTAGGGTTAAGGTTAAGGTTTGGGTTTACGGTTAGGGTTAGGTAAACGCGCGAAAACCTTGGCCTTGGAAGAAACGCTCTAAAGCACAGAAAACACCGAAAACCCGCTCTTTTCCACCCTCTCAAATATTGGAATGTATATGTCTGTAAGTCTTCCTTACCTATCACCAGGAGCTCGTGTAGTCTATGTGTTACCTTCTGTAAGCATCGAGAGGCCATTATTATTGTCGGTGACAGAGAAGAGCATTATTCTGAGAATGGTACATTGTTTATCGCACTACACAAGTTGCCACATGGTTAAATTAAGACCGGCTCCAGCTGACGGGACTTGCTGCTGACGTCACTGAACCTGGTTAAAGATACGCTAACGCAGCGTTTCTCAACTTTTTTTCGTCGGGGAAAAAATTAGGTTTGAATACTGGGGGGAAAAAAAGTGCAAATTCAATGTCAAGCATATCTGGAAAAAAAAATCTTGATTGTTGCCGCGACAACCCGGATAACGCAGTTTGAGAAACCGCTCGTGGGGTGTTTAATATGGCCGAAGTGTTTAAGTTTATGAGAAACGTGTATATTGTATATGGAAGAGACTGGGGCCCTATTTCAGTTCACTAGAAACATATATACTGTATATAGAAGAGACTAGCGTCCCTATTTCAGATTGCGAGAAACGTATATAATGTACACGGAAGAGACTGGGGCCATATTTTAGTCCGCAGGAAAAAAGTAATACTGCATATGAAGAAATTGAGGCCCGATTTCAGTTTACGAAAAAAGTATAAACTGTATATAAAGAGACTGAGACACTAGAAACCTTTAAACTTTATATGAAGAGATAGGAGATCTATTTAAGTTTGCGAGAAATGTGTATACTGTATAGAAGAGACTGGATCCCTATTGTAGGTTGCGAGAAACGCATATACTGTATATGGAGGGATTTATTTAGGCCTCTTTAGGTAGCATTTCCAAATAAAGCAGTAGATGCACTGCAGCCGACCTCCACTGGGGTGACAACATACAGTTAGACTCTCAGGCTTCCACCCTTTGATCTAAATCAAGTCTAATGCCATGTACTGATTGATTATCGGGATTTAGCGGAAAGTTTGCAGAACGTCACTCTCATCACGGTCTAACTGGAGGGGAAAAACTGTCTCTTGCTAGCACTTCTGTCTCATGCATTTGAAAAAAAAAAAAGAACTGTTTACCCAAAGGGTCACTTATATCATGTGCCCATCTCTGTACTGATCGGCCCATGTCCCTCTTGTTTCGCTGCCACCACTATCATCTTCATCATCATCTGCGATCTCCTGTAGTAGCATGTATCAGTTCGTGTGTTGACACGCCTCCATACCACGCAACAAGACTGTCAAAAATATTCTCTCGTTGTCTTACTCTATCCCATCATTAACAGATCTTTTCCAGTAGTCACGTATCATATCTTCACGCTGGCATATCTTCTGCTAATTTTTTTTTTAAATTTTTCACAGTGACACCTGATATTAACTAAATGTGCAGCTTTCCGGACCAAGGTACTGGTTACTAGCCAATTGTCCGCGTTAATAAATATGAGCATTTTTCAGTTATCTTGGTCTATGGTATTCTTGGTAAACAGAAACGGCAAATTCATTGGTTACTTCCCCTCCATGAAGAAAGTTATGTGAGCGTGTGAAATATTTAAATTCACTGGCACTATTCACATTGTGTGTGTGTGTGTGTGTAAGTTGGTGAAAAAGTGTGTGTGTGTGTGTGTGAAAAAGCGTATTTGGGTGAAAAAGTGTGTGTGTGTGAAAAAGTGTGTGTGTGTGTGAAAATGTGTGTGTGCATGTGGGTGTGTGGGTGAAAAAGTGTGTGTGTGTGTGAAAAAATGTGTGTGTGTGAAAAAGATGAGTGTGTGTGTGTGTGTGTGTGTGTGTTGTGTGTGTGTGTGTGTGTGTGTGTAAACTGAATAGAAAATGTCAGTGTAGACAGTCGGGTTTTGAATTTGGTTACAGCTGGCAAAACTGAAACAGAGAATAGCAATGGGAGGGCAAAAAGACCAATCCCGGATTGTGTAGTCATACAAATGGGGCGAGACAAGAGCACTGACTTGATCAGTGTTCATGGTAATCGTATAGCATGGGAATACATTTCCGCGTACTCTTATTGACAGGACACATGGTGATGATGATGAGACATGTGATTGTTTTCTTTATTTTGTTAATGACAACACGAATCACTGAAATTGTTTCACAAACTTAAAAGTAAACTAATTAGGGTCGTTTCCTTCCATGTCCAAGTCCATCTGCCTGAGAGTCAAGGAACCAACAATCTGCATACAATTAATACCGATCTGTAAAACGGATGCGTACGCAAAACTCAAATTCTGGAACAAGGAGTTTCTTCAACCAATTACAGTTAACGCGGCCCACATACTCATGGGTTTTATTAATTGAGCTGACATAGGTACAACACACACAAGTACCCCTCCGTGCGAAAGTGATCAAGCCGTGTGCCTCAAGTTCTAAAGGTCGTCAGCACGTTTAACTGAAATCATAGCTTCCAACCAGTCATTGGGCTGTGCTTCTAAAAATATGCTTGAAAAGGAGTCTCAAAAGATCATCCACGTCGGCCTTGTCATTAAGGCCAAGGATATCTTGGGTAGGAGAGTTTTCTTGGCGATGTGGTCAAGGCTTTTACCACTTAAGGTTGTAGATTCCTGTCTCAGACTGCACTGCGTCATTTAGTTCATTAGTGGAATATTTATGGAGATCCTTGGAAATCGTCGTTTGAGCTACGGAGTTTATGATTGGGGCTACACTCTCGAGGACGACTAAACGTTCTGCAAATAGAGACTGAGCACTTGTAGGAAAACCCAGTGAATGAAAGTCGATCCTCTCGACTGTAACCCGGCTATAACATTAAGCAACAAGTACACAGATTTAACATTCAAATGCTACAAGCAACAGATGTGTGTCTAGGAGAGGGTGTGCCACTGCACCACCTGCTCTCTCGGATTGGAGATCATTTCGTTCCAGTGGTCCAGTTCCTTTCCTCTGGCAAACATAAAGGATCCCAAAACCACACGACCCAGTTGTTTGTCTGTGGAAAAAAAAATTATTTAAAATTTTGTTCATTCGTCAACATTTTTTTTTTACATTTTGTTTATTCATTCAATGTTTAAAGTTTAATTAGAATCTACATCACAGTTTCGGGACATTTCCATAAGCGCTCCATCCCTATCTTCAGCAGTAAGCGCAGAGTTCTTATCTCGATTGTGTAAGTAACAGTGTGACCGTATGTATACCCTGTCTTACCTTTTCCATGAGTGTTCAACGTCGGCCCTGGTGACTCCTGGCAGCCCCATTCTCCACAGATAGTGATGATCCATCTGTGGCACTGTTCACTCGCCGCCAGAAGGCCCCCACAATATCTACCTTGTCATGCACCAGCTCACCACCAAGTTGTGCAGAACCAGCCAGACTATCTGACCGCCCATTTCCTAATACACCGACATAATCTCAAGAAAATATCCAAGGGACGTAGTTATTAGTTACCTCAGACTGACTGAATGATGCAAAACAAAATTTTTTTTTATGTCTACTATTCTATACTACATTTTGTGAAGTAATAGTTCAGCGTACATTTGACATTATCAATGTTTTTTTTTTTAAAGATCTATTATATACATTATACACTATTCGTTCATCACCTATTTAGTACAATAATTTCTTCAGCGCTACTGCAATAGACACTATTTGGTGAGTACCGGCACACTTTTGTTTAGAACAAAAGCCATGTCTATGAAGACAAATCTCAAGAACTATTGCTCGGCCGACCTTATACAACCAGTGTCAAACATGTTTTTGTATCGTTAAATCCTCACAGGACCGTACAACGAGCAACCAACACCCGGTGACACAAAGTGCCACCATTTGGATGAGGATCACCTGGTCACAAGTCCTAGAAACCCCGTTGAACCTTTAGGTTATTTTAGGGCCCCCGACTATAGCCGGAGTGGAGCTTTAAAATAACGACATTTGAGTCCTACATCGGGACAGGAATCAGTGTCAAACATGGACCATTTATGTCCTACGTCTCAGGACAGGACATAACAAACTTAACCAGCATATGCACAGGCTTCGTCTAAGTAGTTCACCTTTGTGCCCTTGTGGGCTATGTGTGCAGACTACAGAACATGTCCTGCAAGAATGTCCCTTGTTCATCACATTAAGGAAGAGAATACTGGCCAGAGAGTCACCACTGCACACAAAGTTGTATGGGACTAAAAAGGAACTCATAAAAACAGTCAAGTTTATCACAAGAACCTGTCTGTCGGTGTAAATCAGAAAGGAAAATGAAAGTAAGAGAGATTAGATGTTTTACACCACATGAATGAATGTAAATCTCCAGGGCCAGATAACATCACGATTGAAGCGTTAAATGCTGTTGGTAAACTGGGTATAGAAGTGCTAACACAACTGTTGAATTTTATTTGTAATAGTGGACATATGACCAAGCGAAATCTCTTTTCTCATAACTTTGCCACAAACAAACACCTGCTGCAGTGGATTGTAGAGAACATCGGACAATTCGTTTGACTAGTTATATGACTAAAACAATAATGAAAATCATAATGAGAAAGATTAGGTGTAAAACTAAGTTAGAAATTGGACAATGGCAGTATGGTTTTGTTGAAGATAAAGACAAAACACAACGCCTTATTTATCTTGAGAACACTTACAAAAAGAATTATTGAAGTTAACAGAGATCTGTTTGGGGGATACACATTTGTTTCTGATCGACTGTTGACGGGAAATTACTTGTCCTTCTCTCCCCCCCCCCTTTTTTTCCTTCTTCTTTTCTCAATCCATCGAGCTTGGCTTTGACATGTGACTGTGGCAGGGCAACAAAAGCGTTTTGGTTACGCTAATCCTCAGTGGGTACAAGTGCCTTCTCGGGTTTGAACTTGATCTCAAGTGGCAGCACTGTAGGTCCAGTCAGCTGTTTGGCAACCTTCAGTTCTTCAACTGAAGCATCTCCCTTGCCAGGTTTGCCCTCCTTGCGTGGGAAGATAATCAGCTAGGTCTTGTACTCCATCAGTTCTGTACGTTCTGCTGGAGGGATTCAAAAGACATGCTTCGTCTGCGGTAATCCACAGAGATGCCAATGGTGCGTGCCACTGTTTTGTTGACGCCTGCAGCCTTAAACTCATCCAGGGTGAATTCACATCCAAGCCTAATCTTAGTGTTGTATTTAAAGATAGGACATCTGACAATGGGCTTCAGGAGACCGGCAACTGGTCGTGGTGCGATTGCTGCCGCTTTCTTGGCATGAGCTGCATGTCTCCGCTTCTTTCTTATGGACTGGTTGAAACATGTTTTGACCAGGCGCTGCAAATCCTTGTGGAAATAGTCATTTGGTATAATGTTGTTTCTTTTAGGAGCCATGGCTTTTCTTAACTCTCGTAAACAGGACAATTTGTTGACCGAACTAAAGCATTTGATAAAGCGAAACATGACGACATTATTATAATTTAGGAAACCTGAAACATTGATGGTAAAGATCTGAGAGTAATAAGACACAAATCAGTGGCAACAAGAATAAGTTATGAGAATTAGAAACCACATTGTAACTTTTTCAAACACATATTAGGGCGCTAGACAGGCATGTGTAGTTTCATTTCATGTATTCGGTTTGTACAGAGAAATAAAAATGAGCTCCGTAATGGTATGCCACGAATGCGGGTGATGGACATATGGTTAACACCATGTGATATGTTGAAGAAACAGTTTTGATCGCGCAAAATACAATATAGTGGCAAGAAACCATAGATATCCATCTTACCTTATGTGACAGTCTTATCATTGTTTCTGTATTGTATGTCTATTCACGTTTGTGACAATTCTTACCATTGTCTCTAAACTCTCTTTTTGCTCAGTCTTACCTTTGTGACAATCTTACCATTGTTTCTAAACGCTCTTTCTGCCAATCTTACCTTTGTGACAATCTTACCATTGTTTCTAAACTCTCTTTCTGCCAATCTTACCTTTGTGACAATCTTACCATTGTTTCTAAACTCTCTTTCTGCCAATCTTACCTTTGTTTCTAGACTCTCATTCTGCCAGTCTTACCATTGTTTCTAAACACTCTTTCTGCTAATCTTACCTTTGTGACAATCTGACCATTGTTTCTAAACTCTCTTTCTGCCAATCTTACCTTTTTGACAATTTGACCATTGTTTCTAAACTCTCTTTCTGCCAATCTTGCCTTTGTGACAATCTGACTATTGTTTCTAAACTCTCCTTCTGTCAATCTTACCTTTGTGTCCACTCATGTGTTGCATAAATGTGACCGTGATACTGGCCGTGTCCAGGCCAGAATCAGGCACCTTGAAGGTGAATGATTCATTGAAGTTAGGGCTGTTGTTCTTTCTCACCACTTCGGTCCTCTTTGTCTTCACTGCTTTGTTCTGTAGCATTAAAGTTACCTTGGCGTACGTGTCTGGGGGATAAAAGAGATAAATACGTCGTCTGTATGATGGCAGGACATTTATTACAGCAGCATTGACACTATTTGGTATTACATTTTATACATGGAAATACGAGGAGCGGCTGCCTCTCATGTAAGAGACCAGGGTTCGAATCCTCGGTAAGGCTGAGGAGTATTTTTCTTTCGGGAGCAAAAAATAAAATTCTCACCTGCACAGTTCGTGGCTACAGCACTGGCCATGCAGCCCTAAACCTCAGGTTCAAATGACCCCCCTACCTACACTGCAGAAATGGTATAGCAATGGCAGTTACTGACAGTTTTTGGAATACATGGAGATCTCAAAAGTGTGATACACATTACAATAAACATGCAATTGTCTTTAACCTGTCAATATTCCTCTAAACGATTCCATTCGGTGTAAAGAGTGTTAGGAACGTGACATCACTGCACAGACGAACATAGTGATGTCATGACAGTTTAGAGATGTCCGGCCCACTTTTCACATGCACCAAAGAGGAGCAGCGTTATGTTTTTTTCCGTTTGGTTTTTGTTGTTGATCAGAGAACTCACTGAAATACATCGGCCAATGAAGATCCAATACGGTGTCGCATGCCTGTCAGTCGAGCAGTTGTGAGTGGTGTTGAAAGTTTCAAAACGGTGTGACTTCTGTGCAAAATGTTCACCCTGGTGTCACTACACAGTGTGCCTGATCCGACTATGAACAGTCCATCATACTGGTCCTTCATTGCCTACATATCATCTTTTCTGCCGCCTTTCACCGAGCACGGTCTATCCATCTTGTCGAGTCTCTCGTTTCCAAGCCTAAACGTCACCACAACAGGCCTATCCTTGTACTCAACATCCGTGCTAAAAACAAGCACCTCTCCATCCTTAGGTGCCACCAGCACGATTTTCTCTGAACTTTCTCTCGTTGCCTACAGACATGACCGTAACCTCAAGGAAATTTTAACGAGAGTCGATTGCGGCCTGCGTCAGAGTCCCACTTCAGCACGGTTTTATGCCACAGACCTGAATGCGGGACTTGTCCATATGTGGGTCAGGGGACAAGTCTGGAATTCCCGAATGCCGCCTTCTACATACGTAAAGCATTCTACTGCATTAGCCGCAATGTCATTTACGGCATCAACTGCAAGAGATGTGGCATGAAATACATCCGTGAAACGGGTCTACGACTGGCTTACAGGTTCAGACAATATCTTTTAGATGTGCCGAACGGTGCTTTGAAACCAGTACCATTGCATTTCAATTCCCAGGATCACCAAGGTGTCTACGACATGGAGGTGACAGCCATCAAATCTAGCCACTCCAGCGACCAAGGCTGTAAGTCTCTTGAAAATCGCTTTATTTTCACTTTAGGCACATTAACACCTAGGGTACTGAACTGCCGACACAGTTTCATCTAAAATCCTAGGGGATTAAACTGCCCACACATTTTTATTTAAAACCCTCCAGTGACGGCCCGTGGCATTTCCCGGAGGTAGTTATTTTTCCGTCCCATATGTCCCGTCAGTCTACTGGCAAGACATCGACCTGACTGCTTCGAGATACTTAGCTAAGTCCCTCCATATGAATTGGAACCCAAGACCTTCGGGCCAGGAGGCGAGCTTCTAGCTATCGCGGCTGCCAGTCTGAAGTAACCACCACCTGAGATCACCTGATATCAGTAACAGCTGCCCACTCAAAGAGTTAGCGTTCTACAGCCTCGTAGAGATATTTACAAACCTGACACTCCAGAAATGTTAAATCTTGTCTAGAGTTCTTCAGATGGCTGGTAATTTTACTGCCTGCTGCCTGGGAAGTTTCTGAAATTGTCGGGGGCAGACTCGCTCGTGTGTTGCTGGAGCCCATAGAGGCGACAAAGCTCAGTAACATTAATATCTATGTACTAGAAGCAAATGCAGAGGAGGGGATAACTTGTGATGAAGGGAAAAGAGAAGAGATAACTAAGGATAATATGGAATTCTACTCCTTAAAATCTCGACTCCGAACCTACAAGAGCTCTCAACAATGTCGCGTGGCGAGCTAAACCCAACCGTAAGCTGCCCCAGTAGCAAGAAAAGAAAAGAGAAAAAGAAAGTTCGTTTAGGCGGGGGTAAAATCAAAGTATCTCACCCTGGCAGCAATCTTCTGTGTGGGATCTAATATAGTCTAACAGTAAAACCTAGACATACTAACTAAAATAACACGAATGTAAGTTGATGAATACAGAAACTTTATTTGTTGATGACATAATAATTCTTGACAACACTCCAAAAGCTAAATATACTAAAGAACTACTAACTGAAATATATGAGCAGGCCGGTAGAACTAACCAAGCAACTAGTAAATCAATGAATAACAAAATACTGACAACTACTAGCAGACCAACAACCAGGTAGTACCGTTATGCAGTCTGAACCTAATTTGCGCTTTAACCGTGTACGGTTTGGGCGACAAATCGGAAGGGCTTCTAGCGTCTGTTACCGCTATCGCTGGAAAGGGAAACTGTTAACAGAATCAGGCCTTTTATCACCTTCCACGACTCACGTGACCTGCTGGACAATACTGAAGAGTTCCACTGACCCACCTGGCCAGTGCCAGCAGCTATATGTTGTTAAACAAAATAAATAAACAGGCCAAATATCTACCTCCTGTCGCCAGCCTGTTACACGTTCCCATACTAAATCTGTTGACGTCCCGACAACCAAGTAATAAAAATAGATCACTGCCTATTGAACCCTTTGAACTATCCTACATCCCACCAAATTAGGGGTCATAACCACTGGCAAAAATTCCATGACGTAGTATACATTTGCACAATACATCTGCAACATTATCAATATGCAATCAAAAATGCATCAGTGGATGTCACTGAAATCAAAGCAAGCAAAAAATCGTACAATGGACATACACAGAAAAATTACATCAATATTGTAAATAATTGAAAAATCATGAAAATATGGGAGTCCCAAAACAAGTTCAGTAATTCATCACCTCCTCTTTACCTCTATTCAACTCATTTTTACAAAAAAAATGCAACTACAAATATATAAAATCCTCACCCCACTTCCGCCTGTTCTCAGAGTGGCGAGCTCTACTTGAACGCCGAACACCTAAATCCCCTGGTTGGAAAATATACCATCCTGACTCTGACTGTGAATCTTCATCGGCTGTGACCACAGGATGCTCAGGCAATCCAAGTGTCACAGGTACCTATTCAGCAGCATCTTCTTCACAGCGCTTCAACTCATGACCAGCTACTCTGATCACTGGAGCTTCTACGCCAACTTTTTTTATTACATAAGGGCCCCCAGACATTGCTGGTGCCCGAGTCACTACATATTTCTCTACAGACCACATATCTTTGATTTTTGCCCTCTCATTATAGTGTAGTCTCTTTCTAACACCTTCACCCACCTGTAGTGGTATGCCATGGGCAAACTTGTCACATCTATCTTTTCTAACAGCTGCCGCCGGCTTGAGATGAGCGTTTGCCTTACAGTGAGCATCATGCAAGCGTGCCAAATGTGCTTGCAACCACCCATCTACACTCTCTGTTCCACCCTCATCAGTTGTTACACTAAGCATAAAATCAATGGGCAAATTAGGCTCCTTACCAAACACTAAATAATATGGAGAGTACCCCGTTGATGCGTGAGGTGTCGAATTATACGCTAACAGGACTTCAGCAATATGGTCGGACCATCTCCTTTTCTCACTGGCCGCTAGTGGTCTCAGCAAATCATGCAAAGTGCGGTTAAATCTTTCACACTGGCCATTACCTTTTGGATTGTATGCCGTTGTGTGACTTTTTTTAATATCATACATTCGACACAGCTGCGAAATAATAGTAGATTCAAAATTGCTGCCTTGATCAGAGTGCAATCTCTGCGGCACACCAAAATACAAAAACCACTTCTCAACAAGTGCCTTGGCAACAGTTGATGCCTTCTGATCC